GCTTTGCTGGCGGGGCTGGCCGGGTACGTCTTCGGGACCTGGCCGGGACGGTCCCCTGGGAGGAGTCGGGGGGCCAGTCTTCCGCGGGGTCTAGTAACACACAGTCGACGACCACGACGACTCTGAGGTTTCGGTTTTCTTTGGGGCCTCCTGGAGAGTCCTTGTCGCCTCGGGTGGATTCGCCTCGAAATTCTGGTCTGAACGTGCCTTGACAAGGCACGTTCAGACGCTTAGTTGTTTCTTAAAGCTGTCAAGACGCCTTTTTGATTTGTTGTCATTTTCGATGTCCGCTCTTGGCAAAGACCTGCTGACGGAAATCGCATGAAGCTCGAAACCTACAAAACACAACGCTATCTGGGGGCGGAAACCCAAAAAACAGTCGCCGAAAACGGCGCCAGTTGGGACCCCCCAACAGATCCCCCCCCCAAAAAACAGACTTCCATACCTGAAAACGGTGGTGTGCTCTTCAGTCTGCCCGACTCCGCGGCCCTAACTTCGGTGACGTTCGCTGGACAGGGCTGCGGGAGCGCATGCTCGTTGATGGCCCGCCCGGCGAGGCGAGCGGGGTGCAAATCGCTGTCCGCTCTCGTCCTCGCCTGGGAAGAGGCCAACACACGTGTTCACGGGGCGGGCCCGCGCGCACGGGAGCGGGGGCACGGCGGCATTCCCCTCGGTCGCTGTCGGTGGAGGCGCCCCGAGCGGATAAGCCGCTGCCGCCTTCGACGGGCACGGACTCGGGCACCCCCCCGTCGACCTCGTCCGCGTCCCGGCCCCTTTTCGTGAAAGCGTGAGCTGAACACACATTACAAACGTATCGAAATCTGTCAGAAACAAAACAGGTGGGCAAGGGAGCATCGAGGAGCTGAAAACGGGGGACAAACGTGTTCACTCAATCCTCCGACGCAGCCGTTCCAGTCATGGGACGTCGATGAGATCCTGGCCGAAGACCTCAGCGGCGTTTCTGACGACGACTCCGCGCCCCTGCAAGACGAGGAGGGTCTGGAGGTCATTGATCACGTTTCGGACGACGAAGAAACGGATGCCGACGAGGGCGACGAGGGGCTGCTGGAGCCCGTGCCCGTCGACGACGGCAGCGCCTCTTCCGCTCTCTGGCGGCGACTGAGAGGCGCCAAGGGCCCCTCTGGCTTGCCTGCGCCAGACGATCGACCACTCAGGGAGAGACGGGAACGCAAACCAAAAAAAGGCACGCCGAAAGTAAATGAAAAACCATGCGAGAACGGATGGCAACAGAAGCAGAACACGAATTTTTGCTGATCCGCCCGCCCTGTCGGAGTGTGGCAGACGCGTTTCTGATTGACTCGACTTCGTCGTCGTCGTCGTCGTCGTCGTCGCCGTCGCGTTTGACTCCCATTTCCCTGGGCCCGTCGCGGATCCCCCCCTTTTTACTGCGCCCTCCTCCTGAAGCGAACTAGCTAAAGCGAAACCAATATGAAATTGAGCAACGTCGCAGTTGAACCGAAGGGACACCCCTTCCCTTTGATCGATTCTCTCCAGGGGGGGGATCCCGGGGGGGGGGTCCGAGGGAAGGTCCCAGGGGTGCGCTGCAGGGGGCGTCCTTGGATGGGGTCCCAGGGGGGGGTCCTGGGCGGAATTCCGAGTCAGAATATAATCCTCCCCCGAGGGGGTCCTGAGGCGCGACAAAAACACCAAAACAGCCCAAGAGGCCACCAAAAGGGCCCTGCATCGTCGAATAATCGGTCCAAGACGCCAAATATGGCACCCTGACGACCCAAGCGGCTTTCAAGACGATCGCAGAGGCCTCCAAGAGACAGGGCCTCAGCAGGCAACATTAAATGAATACCAGTAGTGTTTTGGCAAGATTCTGGCGTTCTCACCACTTCGGCTTCCCAACGCGCCAGGACGTCCCAAGATGCCACTAAGATCGGCACAAGAGGCCCCCAAGAGGTTTCCAAGACGCCCCTAAAACGACCTAAGAGGGCCCCAAGACTGCCCAAGAGGCCTTCCAGACGGCCCAAGAGCCACCCCAAACAACTCCAAGAGGGTGCCGATACGGGACCCCGAACGAACATTTAAGCCCTCAGCCCCGAGAAGCTCCCAGGAAGCCCCTAGAGGCCCCAAAGAACCCCACTGGGGCCAAGAGGCCCGTAAGAGGCCCCCAGGAAGGGACCCCCAAGAGGCCCCAAGAAGCCTGAAAGGACCCACAAGAGACCCCTCAATAGGTCCCAAGATGTTCCTAAGAGGCCCCCAAACTGACCCTCAGAGGCCTACGAGCGCGCTCCGAAGAGGCCCCGCGAAACATCACTGACGACTGTGCCCCACGTCAACGCCGTCGTCGCCGCCGACGCCACCGTCGTGGCCGTTGCCCCCCTTCAAAAACGGCGACACTGGCCGCAAAGCCTTTCCAACTGCCACTCAAACGGAAACTAAACGGAGCCAACACCGAACATGAAACGTGACAACTCAAACCAGGAAAACACGAACATACTCATCGTTCTGAGAAACATATACTAGGATCATCGTTCCACGCTTTCCATGGCAAAACCATCGAAACTCAAGACACCAAGGACACCCTGGAGGCAAGCAGGGTGCTTCTTGGCATGGGTCCCCACTGTACATGTGCACTGCACTTGCCCGCAGTGGCCCCAAATCTGTTGCGCTGCCCCCTTTTCAGCTGGACCCGTTTTTCCAGCGCTGGCCAAACCTCCCTTTAATAAACATCCCCTTAGTGAAAACGGCCTGAGACCGACACCCACGGACCTGGACCCGCAAAAATGACGGCCGCGACGCCCTCTCGCGAACCGTAAAAGGCTAATTCCTTAATCGACGTGTCAGGGTAGGAGGTCTGTCCACCCCCGACTTTTGGGCCGCGAGGATCGAAAGGAATGGAACATCAACGGGACAGCGGCACAAGCGTGTCGGAAAATGCCCAACCGCCCCTCTTGGGAACCCCCAAACCGGGTGGTGAGATACCAGGTGGCGATCTGGAATCCCCAAAAAGGTCACCGCTGGGTTTGGGGACGCGGGGTCACCACCGGGTTTTGTGACTCCTGGCCCCACCAGTGTTCGGGACATCCTCAGAAAACCGCACGAGTCCCCAAACCGGGTGGTGACACCAAGTCGCCCGAGACTCACCGCCAGGTGTTGTCACCACCACGTTTGGGGACTACCGAAAAATGCCCAGCCGCCCCTCTGTCCTCAGGCCCGGCAGCGCCGGCCGGGGCCGGAGAGAACCGCCCGGGGCCGAGCCGGCGACGCCAGGCGTGGAGGAGAGGTGGCCAGCTCCGGAAGAGGGGCCTCGCTGCCTCCCTCCTTCTCCCTCCTCCTCCTCCTCCTCCTCCTCCTTGTCCTCCTCTTTCTCCTCCTCCTCCTCCTCCCTCCTTCTCATCCTCTTCCTCCTCCTCCTCTTCCTCCTCTTCCTCCTCCTCCTCCTTCTTCACTAAGACTGAACAGCAGGGCGTTCAGAACTGGCGACGAAGCAGCAATCGTCGGAGGTCCGCGCGGAGTTCCTGTATCTGCTCCAACCTATCGCCCCCCAATTGTGCTCAGGTCGGGCATGTCCCCCTACAGGCTGATCTTGGGCGAGACATTGGAACTACTCCAAAAATGCACCAAAGTGGTCGAAACATACTTTGAAAAATCGTCCCCGGACTACTCTTTCCTATTTTTGAATATTCCTCCCTCCTGTAGATGGACACGCCCGACTCAAAATTATGCGCCCTCCAACTGCGCTCCCAGAAGAGCGTTCCAGAGAGGCCGCGGCGCCAGATGCATCCTCCAGAACCGCTGGATCTCAGATCCACAGCTTGCTCCAGCCCATGTGGAGGGGGGGGAACTGGAAAACATTCGAGGAGCAACAGCAACGTACAACTACATGACCCGAAACTGTCGGAGGTCCGCGCTGACTTCTTGGATTGCGGTTGGCCCCCTCCCTGTAGCACGGCGCGAGCCACGAGCGGCGCCGGAGGCGCCGCCGTGGGGCTCCAGTGTCGATCCAAGAAATCCGCGCGGACCGCCGACCGTGTGCTTATGACATTCTTTGTCGGCGGCGAGCCCCAGGGGAAGTGAGAAGGACAAGGCCTTCTCAGAAGCAGGGCTGAACCGAAACGGCGTTTTTCGTTTTCGTTTTGTGTTCGTTTCCCCTCGTTTTGTCGTCAACCCGCCTCTGCCGCAAAACGAGGTCGAAACGAAAACGGCCCATGAAATCACAAAAACTCCGTTTAGGCCCAGCCCTGCTCAGAAGGCTCGGAATTCAGGCGCGAGAGCTTCTGAGAAGCCCCGCCGCCTTCTGAGAGGGCCTTCTCCTTCTCACTTCCCCCCTCGCTCGCCGCCGATCTATGACAGCGTCTGGTTCCTCGAGATGTGTCGGGCCAGGCGAAAGAGGGGGATGGCAAAGGGGGTGTTTGAGAATCAGCTCACGTAGCTGATTTTCCTAGCGCCTCCCGTCGCCGGGAGGCGCCCATGTATCGAGGAATGGGCCTGGCGGCGGGACCGAAACCAGCTACAGATGCAGCAGATTTCGTACCCCCCCCCCCTTCCCCTATCCCTCCCGTTCGTTCGGCCCGAGTGGCGTTGGAGACGAGGTCGCGGGAGAGGTGGCCTCGCCTGGCGCCCCCCCCCTCCCTCCAGCTTTCGGCTTCACGCAAGAGCGACCCTGGGAAAGCGTGACTGAGTGGGGCCCTGGGACACACAGATAAATACACACAAATAACCAGATTCCCCATATTTTCGCATAGTTTCTTGGGTTTTTTGTTTTCCCCCCCACTTCCCATATTTTCCTTTATTTTCCTGGGAGAGGACGATGAATTGGGTCTGTGTGTTTTTGTCCCCTCCTGAGTGACCTCTGGTGCGCGGCTTTCTGGGGCCCGCAGGGGGGGGGAGGGCAAGACAAGCGAGCTAGACGCCTCTGTCGCCTCGCGCTCGGCCATCGGATCGGGGGACCGGGCCCGCACCTGGGGCCACTCCTGCGGCGAAGCGCCGCTCTTGCGCGTAGTCGATGCTTGCACGCCCGAGCAGCAGACTGGCGACATCGGCTTGCGCACCCTGCGCGCCGGCTCCTCTCTGGCCACGTCGGGTTCGTCGTTTTCGCCGTCCGCGTACGGCTCGCCGCCCGCGCCCAGCTCGCCGTCCGCGTCGGGCTCCCCGTCCGCGTAGGGCTCGCCGTCCACCGTGGGCTCGCCTCCGCCATTGAAAGAGAAAGAGGGAGAGAGAGAGAGAGAGAGAGAGCGAGAGCGAGAGAGAGAGAAAGGAAGACAGAAAGGAAGATACAGAGAGAGAGAGGGAGAAAAAAAAGAGAGGGAGAGACAAAGAGATAACGATACACAACATTCAAATACCTATACGACCACCTTTCGGGTGATAAGGAGGTTGTGTGTGGGGGGGGGGAGAGGGGGGGTAACCAACATCTGACTCAATCGATCTCACTATCGATCTCAATCAACGGGACACCACGGGACACCACGGGACACTTGTCGATCCCACTGTCGATCCCACTATCGATCTCACTATCGATCTCACTCAACGGGACACCACGGGACACCACGGGCCACCACGGGCCACCATGGGACATCTCTCGATCTCACTATCGGTCTAACTATCGATCTCACTCAACGGGACACCATAGGACACATAGGACACCAGGGGACACCAAGGGACACCTCGGGACACCACATCGATCTCACTATCGATCTCACTATCGGTCTCACTCAACGAAACACCACGGGACACCACGGGCCACCGCCGGACGGGCGGGAGGGGGAGAATAATTTGTCTTGACTTCGCCCTAGCAACGACGGGTTCATTCCTCTCGCGCGCCCACGCAGCTTCGCCTCGCCCGCACGCACGACACAAACGAAACGACACGATTTCCCGGTTGGGGGGTTCCTTTCCTCTGCGATTTCACCCCAACTCTCCGATACATACGGCAATCTACATCCATATATATATATATATATATACACACTAGACTCGACGCACGCGCTTCGCACGCACTCAGGTTCTAGCGCAGACCTGGGCAACCTCGGAGCAACCGATGTTGGAAGCAAACTTGGGAAGCAGTGGCAGGAGGTACTTCTGCGCACGCTGCTGCAGAGGACCAGGGAACGGAGGGTCTCGCCTCGAGGTGCACCAGCTGCGGCATCAACAACACCACAAGAGGTGGGGGAGACGCCGCAAAAGATGGCCGAAATGGGTACCGCCGAGTCTGCCGGATGAGGAGGGATGAGGGGGGGGGGGTCCCAGGATAGTTAGAAAGGAGGGCTGAGAAAGGAAGAGGAGAGCCCAGAAGGAGGCTCGTGGAGAACAGTGGACGCACTTGGACGATTGTTGGCCACGGAGGGTCCATGGAGCTTCGTTAGGGCGTATCGGAGCGCTCGGATGGACCTCTTGGGTCGTCTGAGGCGTTCGGGAAGCACGAAGCAATAACATGGACACGAAGGGAAGCAAGAACATGGACACGAAGGGGAACTCCAAGAGATCTACAGATTGGATCTGGAGACCCTCTGGGTGGTCCTCTTCGGGCCCGCTCGGGTCCTCTTGAGACCATGTTGAGCGCGTCGAGAGCAATCTTTGGGGTGGGAGGGGGATCACGGAAGCCATATGGCAAAAACAAGATTGGGGCCCGAATCAAAAACAGTGCATTTCGCAACACTTATGATCAGACGTAAGCGTCGTGGAGGTATCTTGGAGACAATTTTGGGGGCCTCTTCGGGGGCATATTAGAGGCCTCTGGGGGGCAAAATGAAAGCACTTGTTGGGCCTTTGGGGGGAGTCAGGACCCAGAGATGGCTTGATCTCGAAATATGAATACCAGGAACGCGGACCGAACCGAGACCGACGTCCCCCGCCAAGGTCGGCGCGCCCCTCACGCGGGGCCTGCTCCCCCCCGGAGCTCCACGAACGGTGCTTGGGACAGAATACGCACAGCGTCCCTCCGCCTATCGCGGCACACCCTTCACACGGCTCTGTTGGGAGCCGTTGTCGTGGGAGCGTCTTGGGACCCTTGGGCCCATCTTGGGGCTATGTTGGGCCATCTTGGCGGCCTCTGGGGCCGTCTTCGGGCCATCCCGAATCGTTTTGGCCATCTTGGCAGCCTCTGGAGCGCTCTGGAAGCTGTCCTGGAGGCGTCTGGGGTTCCGCATGGAAGCATATGGAGAGTTCGTTCGGATCTCGTGGCAGGTCTCTCAATGGCTTCCTTGAAGCAAATCGGAAGCCTGTTGGGGCCCGTGTCGATGCCTGTTCGGGCCCGTTTTGTGGCCTCTTCGGGACCCTCTTGGGTGTCCCTTGAGGACTTTTTCGGTCTTCTTGGGGGCCTCCTGGGGGCTTCTGGGGGCCTTCTGGGCTCCTTGGATCCTCTTGGGGCCCAGGGCCCGGAAAGTCCAGTCGGATCCCCCGCCTGCAGGCCTCTACTTAGAGCTGTCTTGGGGTCCTCTTGGGCCGTCTTGGCAGCCTCTTGGGCCGTCAAGGCGAGAACCCAGAAAAACCGTCAAAACCGATCGGAAAACCAGTAATGCGTGTCTCTTT